GTTTGTCACATATAACATTATTAACAAATAAATAATAAAACATTTTTATTTTTATTTTATAATGTTATTATAGGAAGCATGATTGGGTTAGACATGATTCATGGGCAGACCATGTCTGGTCAACAAATCGATAATATGTCTGATCATCAACTAAAGGCAATGGTAAACAATGTATCTGTGTTTTATCGTGTTACACCTCGTCACAAATTAACAATAATCAAGGTACAAAATACTTTATTATCATTACCATTAATATTTGATAACACTTAATATTTTAATGTTATTATTGATTTTATTTAAACTTTTTGAAAAAATATTGATAAACATTATCATTTAAAAATGAATAATATTAGTTACTTAAAATTTTCACCAAAAATTATCATTTTTTTAAACAAAGTAATTTTTAAAATATTTAAATATTTTGGTTTGTTTTTAGCTATATAGGAATTTGACATTTTTTTTACATGAGGTTTTTTATTAGTTTTTCATCTTAAAATTTAAAAATACTAAGTCACAATTTTTTATAAGCTTATAAAGTTTAAATTTTAAATAACCATAGTCTTGTAGTTTGAATAAAGGTTACAAGATTTTTTTTTAATTTTCTTTATTGGAATAAAAAAAAAAAAAGTTAAGTGTAGTAAAGTCACATAATTTTATTAAGTGCTTGAATTATTTTTAATATTTTATTGTAATTTAATAAATAATGGAATTTTAATATCATTAAAACTAATTTTAAGTTAATTATTCCACATAATATTAATACCATTGAATGGTACATTGGTATTGACTCATAAGTTTATTACAATAATCATAATAGATCATAATATATAATTTTATAATACTATGCAAGTTGTTTTGACAAAAAATAATTAAATTTTGATTTACTAAAATAAAAATAAATTACTATTACTTATATTTATAAATGATAAAATATTCTTAAAAATAGATGCAATAATTTATTGTTCTGTTATCTATTTATTGACAAGTTATATTTAAAACCTGCTATACAGCAAAATAATTTCTTAGTTTATTTACAATTACAATTTACTAAATTTATATTATTATTTACAAACTATTATTCATTAGTTATTTATTAAATTTAAAATACTACAATGAAACAATTTTATGTTGTCTTTATGTGAACTCATTAATATTTTTTCAATAATACATTTTTAATTCATTTAAAACAAAACATCAATATTTCAAAAGTATTAACAAAATATTATACGTTTAAAATTAGCTTATTATAATACTGGGAAAACAAATTTTAATCAAATTTTTTTTATAATTGTATATATAATTATAGGCATTGCAAGCAAATGGTAATGTTGTTGGAATGACAGGAGATGGAGTGAATGATAGTGTTGCATTAAAAAAAGCTGATATTGGTATAGCTATGGGTAAAAATGGAACAGACGTTTGTAAAGAAGCATCTGATATGATACTAGTTGATGATGATTTCCAAACTATTGTGGCAGCTATTGAAGAAGGGAAAGGGATATTTTTCAACATTCGAAATTTTGTGAAATTTCAATTGAGTACTAGTATTGCTGCATTATCTTTAATTGCGTTAGCAACAATTTTTAGAATACCAAATCCATTAAATGCCATGCAAATATTATGGATTAATATTATTATGGATGGACCACCTGCCCAAAGGTAGCTTAAGTTATTTTTTTTTATTAAGTTATTTAAAACTTATTATTATTTTTTTAATAATTGTACTATTAATATTTTTTTTAGTCTTGCAGTTGAACCAGTTGACAAGGACGTTGTAAAACAAGGTCCTCGGAATGTTAAAACACCAATGATAACAAAAACGCTTGTATTAAATGTTCTTTTTTCAGCATCAATTATAATTGTCGGAACTCTTTGGGTCTTTAAACGAGAAGTAAGTTCTTATTTTTTATAAATAATTAATAAGTAAAATATTAAATTAAGTTCATAATTATTGCTTTTGTATTTTATTTAAATGTTCTGTGTATTAAATATTACAAGAATTAATTAAAATAAAACTGATATTTTTTCATATTAATTATAAACTTTCAAAACTTAATAATTAATTGATTTTAATTATTTTACCATATAATTTCAGATGAGTGACAATGATGTGTCTAAGAGAGACACTACAATGACATTTACCTGTTTTGTTTTCTTTGATATGTTTAATGCTCTTAGCTGTCGTTCACAGGTTTGATGGTTTTCGATTTTTAAAATATTATTAGAACTGATTCTATTATGTATATTGTCATTTAATCACATACATTATGTTTACAGACAAAATCGGTATTTACTATTGGGTTGCTTTCTAACAAAATGTTTCTTGTTGCTGTTACACTTTCTGTTGTTGGCCAAATGTTAGTGATATACTTTCCACCATTACAAAGTGTATTTCAGACAGAAGCACTTACTCTATATGGTAAAAACAATTATCTATTATAGTTATTGAATTAAATACTAAATTTTTTTTTCTTCAAAATTTAGATATTTTACTTTTATTGGGATTAACATCAAGTGTTTTTATTGTATCAGAAATAAAAAAATTCTTTGAGCGACATTTACAAAAGAGGCTCACTAGAGCACCTAAGAAACAAATGGCTTTTGTGTAATAATATTGCAACTACCACACTTAGTTACATCATGAATGGTATAAAAAAGATTATAATAATAATATCCAATTATAAATTAAATGACAATCGAATAGTCATAATATATAAAATATATAAATAATATATACTATGTTTCTAATTTTTTTATATTTATTGATGCAATATAAATCTCATGTTTTTTAGGTTGTGTATTTGCATATTTTAGTTCCTTTCTTCTTTTATTGACTTAAATATTTATTATTGTATGTGAATCCAAAGTGTTATCTATTGATTACTTATTGTCTTAATTTTATTAATTACTACAATTATAATATGTTATTTAAAGAGAAATCCATTTTTGTTTAATTTATAAATTTATATATATTTTTATGAATAAATGTATTTGTATGCTTAAAATTTAAAATGTTCACGTTTTCTTGTTTTTTTTTTTTTTAAATTTTTTTTTTTTAAACTGTTTTAATCAAGTGATTGTCTTACTTAGTTATTGAAGATTAATTTTATTATTGTTTTGTAAAAAAATAAAACAGAATACGTGAATTATTTAGTATTTATTCGTATAATTTAGAAACTAAAAAGTATTTAATTTTTTTTATAATGTATAGTAGATATAAGTCTAATAATTGTTGTTTAATCACTTTTTATATAATGTATAATATAATCATGACAAGTTTAATAATTATACTGTGAAATCATACTGGTGATATTATTATTATTATTATTATTATTATTTTTTAATATTAAATCAGGTTCCCTGGAGCTAATCATTGTTTACATATCAGTATATATTTTGAATTTTAATTTGGCTGCTTGTTATTAGTTTTTATTAAATATAATATACTTATAGAACAAAAGCAAAAGTTAAATATTGTTTTCTGTATTAAAAAATGAGTAAAAGTAATACAATATAATACTGTGTTATAAATTTGTCATGTATAATTAATTTAAGTTTCACCAATGAAAAGTAAGATAATGCTATTGGTTAATTTTTTTTTAAACAGCATATTTATTAATATTCATGTTATACTATATCACACTACTTACTTGAAATAATTTATAGTCAATGGATGGAGTACATTTTTTTTATGCACATTTTTTTTATAATAAACAATTATTTGTTGATAAAATATAATTGTTTCGACTTTTGATATATTTAATACCTAGTTTTATTTTCTAATCAATGAGAAAATAAATGTATTAACAATTTTTGAATTATTTGTCATTTATTTATACAAATACACAGACTGTTTATATATATATAAAAATAAATAAATAAATAAATAATGTAATGTATTTTTTTTTTTTTAAAAAAAAATAGAAAGCATTTTATCTTGACCATCTCTAATTTATCATTCATTCAATGAGACATACCCCACAGGTGAAACCAGAGTCAAAATGTTGTTGTAGTAGTAGTAGTAAGTAGTCTGAATAGAAAATAAAATTAATGTATCTAAAAAATGTTATAGTAACCTGCGTACAAGATATTGGTAAGACTAAAATTAAAAAGAAAAATGGACCAAGTATCAGTTGTACAAATTTTCCTTTATGTATAATCCATAAATGTAATTACTTTTTATTATTCATTAGTTATAAGTTATAACTAAGGCACAACTATGCATAAAATAGATGTTTAGGAAATTATAAACTCTATTTCAACTGTAGTCTAAAATTGTGTTTTAATATTTCTTGGTAGTTTACATCAAATTTGGTAGTATCAATCTGTAGTACTGCTGTTTAATAAATTTCTTTTATTATTTCTTTTAGTATAAAAATATAAAAAAATTAATAAATTCAAAACTAATATTTTTTTTTTTAAATATTAGCAGAAGGGTTGGTCTGAAATGATATGCTGAAATCAGTCTTTGAGTGATTAGGTTAAGTGAATTAATTTTCTTATAATCTGTGGACTACACTCATCACATTCAGATCTGGGCTCCAAGGTACCTATGACCAAGTTGAAGGGAGAAGGGGGTTATAGTATTTATTTGCACCATATTAAAAATTAAATAAATAAATAAATAATATTAAAAAAAAAACACACAAATTATATATTTCTAATTAAATTAAAGTTTGACAAATTAATTTTTAGTATACAATGTTATTGTTTTAAATAACTTTTTAAATAGTAAAATAATTTATTTTTTGTGTTTAAGTGGGTTTCTACTTCATAAAAAACCATAAAGGCCACCGTGCTTCATGCCTTATGGCTTTATTCACCGTCAAGCACGATTACAAAAAAGATTTTAAGTCGTGATTACCAATTAGGATCAAAGTGACAGTAATTAGTCAGATATTTTTTATTATTATTATTAGTAATAACTCAGATAAGATTATATTTACATGTTTATCTAAAACAATTGTTATTATATTTCTTATCAACTGTTGAAGTGAATTTGAGTTATCTGGATTGAATTCAGAATTTCTAAATGTTGGTACTCGAGGTTGAACACTTGAGTCTAATAACTGATTAGTGCTCGTAATAATTTCAAAATTTCTAACGATTACAGAAAATCGAATATTTCAAAATTATAGTTAGGTCTTAGAATAATATTGATCATTCATCTTGTTGATTTTTAACATAAACAGCCCATCATGCGTAATCTCGGTGTTCTTAGTAGTTTGCTTACCAATCGTTCGTTTTCCACAAACAAATCGAATGTGTTGGTGTACAATTGTAAAACTAAGACCAAAGAACCTTTGAAATGTAACAAGCTTTTGACGTGGTATGTATGCGGTCCCACAGTATACGACTCCATGCATATTGGGCACGCAAGGTCAGTTTTTCTATTTTAATACCTTAATATCATTTAAAAGATTTAAGCAACAACTTTTGTATAAATTTGTTTAGCTGTTACGTTAAGTTTGACATTATTAGGAGAATTTTGGAGAATTATTTTCAATTTTCTGTGTTTCAAGTAATGAATATAACCAATGTGGATGATAAAATTATTTCAAAAGCACGTACCTTAAACACGAATCCACTTCAATTAGCAAGGTTTAGATTACCTATACTATGTTAATCATATTAATCTTATTTTTGACTATAAAATAATTATTGAATGAGTTATTAATTATTTTTAGAAATTACGAAATAGAATTTATTGAAGATTTAAATTTGCTAAACATAAATAAACCAGCTGTTATAGCAAGAGTCACTGATTTTATTCCTCAAGTTTTAAATGTTATTCAAAACCTATTTGATAAAGATTTAGTTTACTCTGCAGCTGATGGTAAGTTTTAAAAGTGATTCTAAGATATTTTGGTTGTAAATGTTGAAAAAGCCTTTTAGGTTTAATAGTTTCAATGTAAAAAGGTTCATTATTTTTTGATACTACCAAGTATAAAAAATATGGAAAGATCGTTAAAGTGCCTGAAGTTGTGCCTCATATGTTCAAGAGAAGTAATTTAGATTTTGCTCTGTGGAAAGCAACAAAACCTGGCGAACCTTCTTGGGATTCACCATGGGGACCAGGAAGGCCAGGTTGGCACATTGAATGTTCTGCTATTGCTAGGTATTTACTCATTATTTTACATATACTTAATGTGTAAATTTGTTATTGTATTTTAATTTTTTTTTTGTTACCATGTATATTTGGTTTTATTAATTGTTTACAGTCATTATTTTGGATCCAGTGTTGACATACATTCTGGAGGAATAGATTTACTATTCCCACATCACGAAAATGAAGAAGCTCAATGCTGTGCTTATCATGATGTTGATGATTGGGTTAAATATTGGATACATACAGGTTCTTACTCAATTATTTGCTTTTTCTTGTTATATAGAATAATAAAATTTTTTGTTTTTTAGGACATTTGCATGTAGGTGATAATATTAAAATGTCGAAATCATTATTAAACACCATCAGTGTTAAAGAACTACTCAAATCATATACCGCAAATCAATTTCGAACATTATGTTTATTATCAAATTACAAAAATAGTAAATATTCTGATACTAATTATATTTTTTTAATCTATCAAATATTTCTAGGAAGAGCATTATAATTTGGTTTAATCAATAATTTAATCGTTGACCTGTATAAATATTTTAGATTTGGAATTTAATGAAAGTACAATGGATATAGCTTGCGGAGTATTAAAAAAATTTGATTGTTTCATCACTAATTGCTATGCTCATTTAAATAATTGTAACATTAAGCTTACTCCTGATATTACATTGCTAAAAGTAAGAAAATTTTACAATTAAAATGATCATACCTTAAATTTAACACTTTTATTTCAGAAAATGAATGATATTGAAAATGATATATTAATCAATTTAGCAGATAATTTTAATACACCAAAAGCTTTAAATTTACTTATTGAGCTTATAAACATATTCAATAAATTACTTACAATGGTAATATAAACTTTTTTTAAATATAATTTTAATTTTAAAATAAGGTGTATAATTTAAATTTAGGACTTTCATTTTAATTGTTCAAAATTGGAAGTGATTCAGGCATTAAATTTAGTATTTAAAACGTTGGACTCATTTGGAATCAATCTAGCTAATACAAAGGTAATGAATAAACAATAAAAATGAATAATAAATAAATTAATACAATTTTTTTTATTAAATAATTATATTTTTAGTTCAAGTCTGATGCTGAAAACACTTCAATTATTAATACCACAGTAAATTTTAGAAATAAACTTAGACAATTAGCATTACAATCAAAGTCTGATATTAAAAAACAAGATATCTTAAAACTTTGTGATACTTTAAGAGATGAGCTTGCTGTAGACAACATCATTGTACAAGTAAATTGAAATAATAAATATTATATTATATACTATACTTATTTTATTAGGTATTACAATTATTTTACTTTTTATTGTAGGACTCTAATAAATTATCAATATGGAGGTATGAAAAAGAATAAAAGTTATAAGAGTTAAAAAAAGTTGAATTCGTGAATGATTATTTTTTTGTTTACTATAAGTAATATTCAAATTGGTCTTACTGTAGTTTATTGATGTAATCAACTTTTATTTTCTATCATAAATTTTTAGAGAAATTGATGTACATTAACATAAATATGTTAAATAAATAATTATTAGCAATCAATTAATATGAGAATTTGTATAACCTAGATTTACTAAGTAACTACTGCATTTTGAAAATTTTTAATCTTGATTTTAAATATTAAATTAATAAAAACCACCATTGTGCATTGCATAGTGACTATATATATTAAAAGGTTGTTAAGTATTTTGAACATGACTTACATTTTATTTTTAGAAAATTCAAATACTTAAAAACAGATTATCATTAAGATTTTACTTAAGATCAGAAAAAATTTTTGCAAAAAAAAAAAAAAAACAGATAATTATTTACAACTAGTAACTAAAAATAATATAATATCCTCATTGATTTATGCTGTGAGAAATAAAATATTAAATACATTTTATTTTGTTCAGTAGCTAATATAAATATCGAGGACAAATAAATCTTAATATGTTTTAGTGCTAAGTAATTGAAGATTAACTTATATTAATATTGAATAAAAGCTAAACGTGGTATGACAAACAACCTAATGCACTAAAAAAATAAAAAAAGATTTACAATGTTGTTAACTTTAATTATATTGTAATTAAGTACTTATTAAGTAATACAAACTTTTTGACTAGATTTGTGTTTAAAGTAAAAAAAATACAAAAAAATTGAGGAACTTGCTATCATCACTAATTGAGTATTAAAATAAATGTTGGAATAATTTGAGGAAAATCACAATTATTGTTGCTACAAATATTTGTAATATTTACATATTGATCAGAGCAATGAAATTTGTTTTAAATACTGTACATAAGTTAATAATAAAAACATTCAAATCTTAGATTATAATACAATTTTAAATTGACATAAATTAATAGTTTTCATCATAATATATAGTAGTTATTATTAAATAGACCTATGTTCAAACAATTGATAAAAATATAATGTGCAAAAGTCTGACACAATAGTTTAATCAATTCAGAAAATTATCTACAGTCTATTGAGTTTTTTCCTTTAACAATTTGTATATCTTGGCAGTCATACGATAATTAAACAAAGTCTTACACAATGTAACATAATTTAATAGCATTACAAACGAAAGATAAAATATATGATGCCATTGAAAACTGATAATTAGTGCTATTATTAATACTATCATAAATGATACTTGCATTGATGCTAATGTAAAAAATACTGTTTCTGAAGGATTACTGAAAATTCTCTTAATATACATATATAAATAGATTATTAAAAACTTTTAGTGCAAAATTTATATTTTATGTATACTTACATAAAAAACTTTGTCAGAATTTTTTCCTGGTTCGGCTACATTCGATACTCCTTCAGCCTTATACAAACACTGATTATGTCGAACTAATGATCCTTGTTGCCATACCACTTCTTCTGACCATCTACAACATTCTTTTAGTTAACAGCCAACATAAGTATAAAAAATATTGATACGTACAAATGTATAGGTAGGTGAGGACGATCTAATTTTACTCTCTTCCAACGGCCCAAGTGCATAGCTGCTTTATGTAAGTGATCAAAATACCTATGTATATCACAATTAATAATTAAAACTAAATTCCTTTTTTTACATTATATTTAAATCTCTAAATAATATATTCTTTGCAACATATTTTTTTTAAAAAGGTGGTCAAGTGGATAATGCTCTGTTGAATCTAGGCATCAAGTGGTCCAATATAATAGATGTGTCAAAATTGAATTCAATAAATCATTGTATACAAAAAACGATTCTGAGTGGAGACAGTCTGTTAACTAATATCACTAAATATATTTTAAATGTTTATTGATATTGATTTTAGAGCAATTTATTTTACTATAAATAACACAGAAGGTTAATTCAATTTTTATAAAAACATTGCAATTATTACATTATTATTGTAATGTATCATATTGTATTAAAAATAATTTTGAGTCAATATTACATTTCTATAAATATCCAAGTAAATTATATTTGTAAATTTTTAGAATTTTTAGTTATAATAGTAAACACTTATGAAGATAATCATAATCAATTTATAAATTAAGCATTGATTTTGACAAATTTAAACATATTTATTTATAATATTTTTATTAAAAGAAAAAGAAAAAATGTTGTGGAATCTTGTATTAAATTTTCAACAATTTTAACCAAGAGATTACATTTTAATGCATATTTATAAAAAAAAAAATAAATGAAATAAATTTCAAATGGCAATTATTAATAAAAAAATTATTTTATTTTTTTAGTTTTTTTAATTTTAATATTACTTATAAGAAATCTTCTATTAATTTTTCATGCTTTATCTATAAAAATTAACATTCTATAATTTTTCAACTATAAAATAATTTGTAAATTTTCATTATTTTGAATTATTTTGTTAACTCTTGATCTTCACAAAATAATTCTTTAAAAAATAAACTAAAAAAATTAGAAAATTTTAATTACTAAAAAATTGTTAAAAATTAATATTTTAAAAATTGTACCAAGACTAAACAATGATAATGTAAACATTGTAAACATTTTTACATTTTAAATTTATAAAAAAATAAAGAAATCAATGCTGTTGAAAGTTAGTTTTACGTAAAAATTCCTAATTTTCCTTAGTTTTTGTTTCCAGGTTATTTTGAAAAGGATTGAGAATTTTTTATTTTCAACCTTCTAAATTATTAACTAGATCAAATTTACTAACAAGGACCACTCATTAAGTTGAAAATTGAGGCATTTTACAGCTCCAAAAGATGATGACATATAAACACTAATAAAAATAAACGCACATCATAATAAAATTAATACATTCATTGATCTAATTAGAATCAAAATTTACATTCAAAATTGTATTCGAGTAGTATAAATAATTCCTTACTTAACAGGATAATAATGAATGCATAGCATCATGCCCATAGTCATCATAACAAAAGGAAAATGCATTAACACCCAATGTTCTTCATAGACAACATAAGTCTAAAATACATATATATATACATGTAATTAAACAAAAATAATTTAACGAAATAAAATAAAAGGGATAATTATCCAAACAATTAACCAAATTTTAAAGTTATTCGTAAAAAGCATCAAAATTGTTTCAATAGGATATCAACTGCAAACATTTAAAAGTTTGTAATCATTTCATGTAGATATCAGTTTATGGTTCAACCATAATGATTGGATAATTTTCCCATAAAATAATTATGTAAAAATTAAAAAACAATATACTGATTTTTATAGGTAATAGATTAGTTGTGTTTTCATAATCGTTAATACAGTGAAATATATATTTATAGAATACAAACATTTCTCAAAAATGTAAATCTCTATGTTAAGAATAATAATTGTAAATACTTTAATAGTTCAGCTAAAGGATCTTTATATGGTTCATTTTCCTAATAGTGAACAGATTTTTTTTTCAATTACCATTACATAGAGATTCACACATGAAAAATTAGAAAACTATTAGGTACTGTGTTTATTTAAAAATAATAAAATAACATACTTGTACAAATACTAGTGGTAAAAAACATGCATAATATGCTGAGAAAAAAGAAGAAAACAGTATTTGGGTTAGCCTATTGTTAAAATCATCTCTCATATTTTCCACTTCTGATCGAATTATTTTTGGATTTGATGTACATATGTGCATATTCGTATATTGAACTGAAATTTTTAGAAGTTATGTTAATAAGTTCTATCAATTATGGTAAAGTTATATGATTATTTAAATAGTTATTGTTAACAAAAAAGTTGCCATTTATCAAAAAAGGACCTTGATATTAGTCTTACAAAAAAAATATTCTTAAATTTTCAGGTTTAAGATAAGCAAATAATTTTGGTGTACAAATAAAATTACTAATGCATGTAAAATTATATTTAATGTTTTTTATTGGATATAAAGTGTTGAAACTTTTTGCGTTACCGGACACAAATGTTTTTAGTCATTTTTATTTGTTAAAAAAATATCGATACAATCAGAATTTTGAATAAAAAATAATAAAAATAATAATAATATTTATAATTTTGAATTTTTTTTCTTTTATAATTTTGAACTTGGTTTCAAAATTATAGCTATTTGAAGTTTTTTATCAACTATAAAAACTTTAAATGCCTAGTATGCCATACATTTCAGTAAAGTATAAATATACCAAATTATGTAACTATGTTTTAATTTTTACTTACCTTTTTTTAAAAATGGCAACCCTAGTTAATAATATAATATTTAAAGTTGAATCAACTGTTAATTTAAAGCCATTAAGTATAAATGTTTATAATAATTTAAAAACTTACTTAATGGTTTTCCATTGATAATTATTTCTTTTTCACTAATACACATCATGTCGAAAAATGGACATGCTTTAAAGCCATAATAGCATAAATAACCAATTATTCTATAATAAATCAATTGTTAGTTTTAAAATGAAAACACTTATTTATTATATAAAAATTGATTATTGACTTACGGCATAAATAAGTACATTATTATTAAATAATCATATTTTAAATAGAGATCAAATGCCAATAGAGCTAATAAAAGGAATAGTGTGACTGAAACAAATAATCTAAAAAAATATATGGTATATAATATTTATGTTAAAAAATGTATTTCATATTTAAAATAATAATAACCTTACCTAATGAACAGTCTAATAAATTTCCAATAATTTTGAGGACATAACATGTGGAAAACCCATGTTATTAAGCAATATATAAATCTACGACAATGCATAGCCAGTATAAATATTACCACTTGATAATCAATTAAATGGATTTTCTGAAAAAAGAAAAAGAAAAATAATGTTGAACATTATTAGATCATAATTCATAAGATTTAAAAATAATTTAGTAATATTATTAGTAGAATCCATTTTTAATTCTTTATTTTATTAATGTGACAAATTTAGAAAAATATTTATATCAATTGAGACTGCTAAATAAGTAATAAAAAAATATAATAGATAATTTTTTGATTTTTAATATGTTTTAATTATTATTATACCTAATTTAACTATAGCTATAAAAAGTTGTTATTCAATATTAAAACATTAGCCGCTCTATGGTATAAACTATCTTATATTAAACAATTTTCAAACATATTTTACAACTAGGTATTTAAGATAACCTTAATACCAACTCATTATAATTAGAAACACAATAGGTAATAATACTTATATTTACTATAAATCAGTTCTCAATAGATTTGTAGTATTTTATTATTTGAAATTATAATTAGATTTTTTTTTTTATTAGGTTTTTATAAATAAAATTTAGAATTTATAAAAAATAAAATATAATAATTTTTATTTTAAATATATATTGTACCATTATGGTTAAAAAACAAAGATGCAACTAATAGTGTAATAGTGTAATTTAGTTTAAAGTGATTAACAACAATTCAATTTTGAATTACATTAGATTTTTTATTGTAACATAAATTATTAATGCACAATAAAATAATATGCACTAACAATTTGTCCATTTTTAACAAAATAATTTCATATTTAATTTAGAAATATACTATAGGAATACTATGTAGAAAAAAATATTTTAATATTATTTCAACTAGCAATAATCGCATCTCGGATGAACCTCACTGGTTACAATATCACCACTGCGCAAAGCTATTTTAATATTATATTAATATATAAAATCTTACCCATAATGTATAATTTGAATTTGGTAACCACCACACTGATCTATAAATGTTTAAATATTGCAAATATGTAGAAAATGATGCAAAAACCACCATTAATCCTTCAAATGTAATATTGCCATCATTATACATGCGTGGAGATGTAACTCGTGGTAATGTGTCATCAGATTTCATCTAGTTTAATAAAACATTCATTATGATACACAAAATATGTAAATATTTTAAAAATTGATATAATGGTTAGATCCCTATTGTAACTTAGTACTTCAAAATATTGGTGAGCACTTAAATTATTGTATAATTCATTTTTTATGCAATCTAGCATTACATTAGTCATTAATCTTAGCCAATGACACAGATGTAAAATCTATTTTTTCTGATCTGTAATATGTATGCAACTATTCATTTTTTTTTTTTAAATATCTTCCAATATTTAAATTAAAACAGCTTAATAATTACAACTATATATTTAAATAAAAATAAGAAAAAAAACAATAAACAATATTACAAATAATATATAATATATAAAATACTGAAAACATAGCTACATTAAGATTAAATCAAGAATCCAACAAATTCAAAAAACTTCAATATATTAATAACAACAAGTCTAAAAGAAGAATTTACACAACTTAAGGGTATATTAAGATAATATTGTTACTAGCTAAGAAATAAAAAAAATTTAAATAAGGATAGGAGAATGATGGGCAGTTGGCAAAAAAATTAATGAAATCACAGATAGCTTCCTCAACATGGTGAGTACAAAAAGAGTAGTAATTTAAAGAAAAGTAAAAGGCATGTTCAGAAAGTAAATTGTGTTCTAATGAGAGTCTCGAAAAATGAACAATCTAGGTAGGGGCTATTTATGAAACCATCAATAGAATGAGATTACAGGGGTCATAGATCTATACCAATAAGCAGTCGAGTGCAACTGATGACCACATATTTTTTTAATTACATTTGTTATTAATTTTGAGCGTATTTAGTAGCAAGTAGGTCGAAAAATGAGATTTGTCTAATAGGTGGTTTTGTGTAATATTTTGTAGAAGTTGCAAACAGATCAGCTATTTTGTTACCCGAAATTCCAACATAGCTTGGAATCCATAAGAAATCAATTGTAAAATCTAATAAATACAAATTAAAGAGTGATGCTTGTATATTAAGAATAAGAGGAGAAGTGGCTGCAGAGATCAATATAGAGATTTATACTAATAATTATAAACTATATATCAGAGACTGGCAATTGGTGGAGAGTGTTTTTATGCCCATGTTAAATTTTCAAGTAAATTTATAAGGATTTCACGTTTACCTGTAATTTATTGTATAATATTTTTTTACATTAAAACATGTTGTTTATATAAATAAATACATATAAAAATTAAATGTCAATTGTAAATTTAATATGTCATTGACATTTTTTGTTTGCTATCTATACTCTTTAGCTAATTAGATTTTAAAATTCTAAAAATCAACTTTTTAGTAACTTTGAGTTGCCCATTTCTGTTATAAATTATAATTTATTTTCAATGAATGCAAGTATTAGGGTTTTAACATTTAATTTTGATAAATTTACACAGGTAATTTGATTGACAAGTCAACAGTTGAAATAAATTTGAAAAATATGCACATTTAAATATTTAACACTGATTTTATTAAGAAAAATATAGGAATTAGGTATTGATAATTATTTTTTAAATTTAATTAAAACTTACTTTTTTTAAACAGTCTGCCAAAAAATTAAAAAACTCCATTGTTTCACTTAAATGAGGAAAAAAGTTTTGTATTTTAGTTTGAAATGTTTATAGAAAATAAGACAATAGCTAATTTATTGATTTTTGTGGTGTTCTATAGGACGTTATTTTAAAGAGCGTTCTTCGGTTTACATATTTGACTAGTTTAAATGTGGTATTAGTGTTAAACATCGTGATTTTTTATGACAGTTAAAATTTAGAACAATTTTTTTTGTTACTCTTTTTTAAACATTTTTAAAAAGTAAACACTTAACGATTGAAAATTGAAATGGTGAAATGTTCTGTTTTCTGTTTGAAATTATGAATTATGATTTATGGTACAATTATTATATGTATGTATAATAATATATTCTGTGTTATTACAATACACGAGATAATAATACTGATAATAATAATAAATCGTGGTATAGACCAAATTGACCATAACTAATGTTCCGGACGAGGGATAAAAAAAAAAAATTATCCGGTGATAACAATGCTAGAAGGCACATTTTTTTCAAATCTGTAAGCACGACGAAATACAATGTATCCTATATCCCGAATTTTCCAATTAACTTGATCAATAATTCAACTATAAGTGACGTTAATAAAAAAACTAAGTCATTTTTATTTTATAAATATTTTATAATAATACTAACAAATTTTGTTGGAAATTAACGACCGGCTAGCCGACAGTTATTACTTAAAAGTCGCTTTAGATATAATTATATAGTGCTATTTCAAAGAATGAATATTTTTACTTCATTATGTGCTAATAAGTACCGTCATTATAGTACATTAATTAAATATCACAGGTATTCCGAGTTTTATTATTAATTATTTTTTTAATGTGTTAGTAGTAAAATTTTTTTTTTACTGATGAATGATAATATCTATGTTTATGTAACTCTTGTCGTTTTTTTTTAATTTAAATTTATTTTGAACTTTTAGATATGGAAAACTAAAATTTACTTCTTTAGTCATACAGAAAAGATTTAAAAAAGATGACAATTTATCTACTCTGTTCGTTCCAGTACCTGTAAAACCAAACCCAGATGATATAAATGTTGGAGCTGAACTTACTGGTAGACTAAATAAAGGCGATCTTTTAAAAGTACTAAACAGATTTTATCAAAAGCCTGAAATCAAACAGTTAGCTTTAGAAAATGGATTGGATAGTAAGATACTTTTTTACTACTCTTATCTAGCTATGTATTGATCTTTATATTTGTATGGGTTAAATTCAGTTCACATAATTATTATGTTTTAGATTATTTGCAGCACCAAGCATATATAAGTTTTAGAAGATATTGTCTTGAAGCCAATACATTGCCTGTTGATCTTCATGTAGTTATTAGTGATATTTTACAAGGAGCTGGACACGTAGATGATATACTTCCATATTTCTTGAGACATGCTAAACAAATGTTTCCACATCTTGAATGTATGGACGATTTAAAGAAAATAAGCGATCTTCGATCACCTGCTAATTGGTTTGTTTATTACTTTTTTTTTATTAGTAATATTTATATTCAATAAAGCTGCTTAAAGGTTTTAACTTATTTGCTTATATAAAACTGTTCTTTATAAAAACTTCTATTTCATATGTAATCATATTTTTAAATATTCTCTCAAAACTCAAGAGTGGATAAAATCTTAGTCCTGATAAAAATTATTTCAAGTTTTCTAACACTTTTTTGTTAGACTATATTATAAGAAAAAATAAGTTTTAAAGTTTGATTTCCCCATACTAAACAAGCTTTCAAATATAATTTTATTATTATTTATATTTAACGCTTTACAAAATTGTTAGATTTAAAATTTCAGCTTTTTTTAATTTTAATTATATTTAATCAATTATTGGTTCCTACTGGTGACATTCTCTGAATATTTATACACATTTATTACTAAGGAATTAATATTCAGTTTTTGAAAATAGTCTGATTACAAAATTCATTAAAAATCCATTAAAAAACATATTAACATATCTTAAAATTATTTTAATACAGAAAATAAATACTGTATTAAAATATTAATGTTGATGTCTATTTAAAACATAAATAGTTTTTGTGTAACCAAGTATTAGTCTAAATTATATTATAGTGTTTAAAATGTTATATTATGACAATTTTGTATAGGTATCCAGAGGCAAGAGCTATTAATCGAAAAATTATATTCCATGCTGGTCCAACAAATAGTGGAAAAACATATCATGCTTTAGAAAAATTTTTGTCATCTAATTCTGGAGTGTACTGTGGTCCTTTGAAACTTTTAGCTACTGAAGTGTATCGAAAAGCAAATGAAAGAGTATGATAACAAGATAATATGTTTTAGTTTTATTTGATTATAATTTTCAATGTTAATCGAAAATATATCATTTTTTATTAAATAATAAATAATCTTTAATGTATTATACTTATATATTTTATTTTATATAAATTTAATTATCTTAGGGTACACCGTGTGATTTGGTTACTGGTGAAGAAAGAAAATTTGCAGATGAAAAAAATGAAGCTTCTAAACATGTGTCTTGCACTGTTGAAATGGCAAATGTAAATGCATCCTGTATGTTGACTACATAATATTTCTATTAAAAAAAAAATAAATAAAAAATAATTATTGTAATGATAAATTCTAAAAAATGTTTCTACATTTCAGATGATGTTGCCGTCATCGATGAAATTCAAATGATGAAAGATCCTAGTCGGGGTTGGGCTTGGACAAGAGCTTTGCTTGGTTTAGTGGCCAATGAAATTCATATTTGTGGGGAAGAAGGTGCAGTTGATTTGGTTAAAGGTTTAATGATAACAACTGGTGAAGATGTCCAGGTATTGTATTAAAAACAATAGTTTTGTATTTATTTTAATCTTGATATGTTGTAAGGTTTGTAGGTATAAACGTCTCACTGAATTAACAATTGAAAATTCAGCAATTTGTACTTTGGATAATATTATGCCAGGTGATTGTATTGTTTGCTTCAGTAAAAATGACGTGTACACGGTAATTAAATGTATTTATTAAGTACAATATTGAAAGAGTTATTTTTAAAAATATACATAAATTTAGGTAAGTCGAGGGATAGAATCTAGAGGTATTGAGGTAGCAGTTATATATGGTGGTTTGCCACCTAATACAAAATTGGCCCAAGCACAAAAATTTAATGACCCTAAAAATTCTTGTAATGTTCTTGTTGCTACTGATGCTATTGGAATGGGGTTAAATTTGTAAGTTTTAAAATAAGTTTTTGAACAATTATCAGTTCCTGAAACATAAATTTTTTTATATTTTTAGGAGTATTAGAAGAGTTATATTTTATTCATTAATAAAACCAACGTTAAATGAAAAAGGAGAAAAAGAAATGGATACTATTTCAGTCTCACAAGCACTTCAAATTGCAGGACGAGCTGGACGTTATGGAACAGAATATGAAAAAGTGAATAAAAGATTTTTAAAATTTCAGAAACATTATTCATTATTCACTATATTTACTATTTTCAAATTTTCTAACATTATGACGTATTATTTAAGGGTTGTGTAACAACATTTAAGCCTCAAGACTTACCTACCTTAAAAAACATATTATCAGAAAAACCAGAACCTATACTTAAGGCAGGACTTCATCCAACTGCTGATCAGATTGAATTGTATGCATACCATTTGCCAAATTCTACATTATCCAATCTTGTGGTTAGTTAAATACAATTATAATTTCAATATGATTATGCAATCAATTTTATAATTTAATTTTTGGTATTAGGATATTTTTATTTCATTATCTACAGTTGACGATTCATTATATTTTATGTGCAATATAGAAGATTTTAAATTTCTTGCTGATATGATACAGCATGTACCATTACCACTAAGAGCAAGATATGTTTTTTGTTGTGCTCCCATCAATAGAAAAATGCCATTTGTTTGCACCATGTTTCTTAAGGTGTGTAATATAATTAAATTAAAAAAAAAAAATTATTACAAATGTATAATTAATTTAACTAGAGTTCAAATATTTATGTTTAATAAAAATTTTTATTTTTATTAATAACAGTATGCAAGACAATATAGTAAAAATGAATCTATTACGTTTGATTGGTTATGTAAACATATTGGATGGCCTTTCACTATTCCAAAAACTATTATTGATTTGGTACATTTAGAAGCAGTGTTTGATGTTTTGGACTTATACTTATGGTTTAGGTTTGTGTTGTTTTTTAGAAAAATTATTATTTTATTGTTATAGTTATTTTACACTTTTTATGTTTTATAGTTATAGGTTTTCTGATTTATTTCTTGAAGCAAACTTAGTAAGAGACATGCAATCAGAATTAGATGATATTATTGAACAAGGTGTAGTTCAAATTACTAGACTTTTAAAGAATTCTGAATCATCTAGTCCAAGCAGTGATTCAATTGAAGAAGAATTTAATGTTGCAAGACATAAACATAATTATTTAAGAGGTAAATCTTAAAATCATTAAGTAGAAATAAATTATTAATAATTGCCATCTATTTTTTTTTAATGTAGGCTCAGATCAAAGACATTTCAATAAAAATCAAATTGGAAAGGGAAGATTAACAGAAAGACTTTTAGCTCAAGGATTATTAACTCCCAATATGCTAGATGAATTACAAAAAGAATGGGATAAAGTAAGTAGTTATATATTTTGGTATTTGTTTAGTGTGACCATAATTTTCCATTTTAAAGAAGGATACCTATAAAATAAAATTATAACTTCTCTTAAATTGTTATCAAATATTTCCTGTTGAGACTGAGTTAAAAACCTATTAAAATAAAATTTAAAAAAAATTTAAAGATTTATTGTTATATCACAAAATTCTAAATTCTCTGTCATATGTAATTGATTGTAAGTATATTTTAATAATAAATAAAATGTAAAACTGATTATTGAATGATAGTCTTTAATGCTCAATTGTATAATAATTGAAATCATGGGCCATGGATAGTAAAATATTTATTTTTATCATATTAACATGTTAACCACCATATGACGACTGGCGGTCATTTAATAGGTATTTGTTATAAGTCAAACATATTTTTTAATGTTTTCCAAATTTATATATACTAAATATTTAAAAAAAATTGAAAGAAAAAATAATGTATTATTGGTACCAAAATTGTAATAATTCCTGATACACTATGGTCCTTTTTTTGGTGCATTATTGTAGCGCTATAGAAAAGTTAATAATATAATTCTAAATTCATTTATGGTTGCCGGCGGTCATATGGGAAAGTTATGATAAACTATGGGCGTTGGTGGTCACAAATGTCTAACATTTGAGAATTACAGATGACTGCTGGTAGTCATATGGCGGTTAAAGTGTTAATTAAAGAATATAAATACTTAAATTGTGGCTTGGCGTGGTGCGTTGGCTGCTACCAGTCGTGGAATATGACTGAGAGTAAGTAACGGCCACAACTACTAGCTCCCGGATGAATGACCACTTGGGATCATAGTGGTTAAAAACCTTGCCACACATACATGATGTTTGGTATCATCCTTAACAATTGTAAAATACAACCTACCGTACCGTACTAACCTTACCCCTTACCATAGTTCATAACCCCTACAAACAGCTAATAGCCCTAGTTGCCGGGCTTAAGTAGTTCAATTAAAAAAAAAAAAAAAATACTTTAATTTTTATGAATTTATAAAAAAAAAAACAGAACAATCCCATTTATTTTGATATGTTAGATATTTGTGTTTTAGATGGTAAGACATAAAAAGTAATACAGTGTTTTGTTTTTGAATGTATAAGTAATAATTATAATAATAATAATATTTTTAGAGTAAAAATAAAAATGAAGATGATGTTGAAAGTGATGCTGATAATGATGATGACCCACCTCCACAACCTAATCACCCAAATAATAAAAGATCCAGGAGAAGGAGAAGAAAATACTAGATAGTATATTGAAATTATGTAATATTTTATTGTTTTTATTTAATATAATATATATATATATTATATGTATGTTATAGTAATTTATATTTTGTATTTTATTAAGCTCATAAAAATATAGAACCATCGTAATAGTGTTAAAATTATAAATTATTCATCAGTTGCAAAGTAAAACAAAAAATTAAATTATTGTACAATAAATAAATGAACATGTAAATACTATTTTTGGTCAAGTGTAATAATGTTTTTATAGATTTATACTATTTACATTTTTGATACTTAGTACTATGTATCTAAGTCTGTCACTTTCATTATTATTTGCTAATAGATTTATGTTAGCATCCGAAAAACAAAAAACCTAAAAAAATAAAAAAATACCATCCTGTAACACAAGAAATGTAAGATATAAATTTGATTCATTTCAATATAATTATACTTATCTATCAACATCATCTTATTTTTATTAAATTTATAAAATGTATTGACATTTGCTAAGGAAATTTCTTAAAAACATCTATGTACCTTCAACTATTAACGGCCATATTATACATAATAATTTACTAATTTTTCATTTTTTTCTCTTTTACAATGATAAAAATTAAAATGAAAATCTAACATTAACTTTTTAAAAATCATGTAAACAAATTATGTATTTAGTTAAGTGTTAGCAAATTACAACATTTCAATTGCTATTTTTTTAAAGTTTGTAATTTTATTAATTTTCTTTTCAGGTGTTAAATTGTTAACTCAAATTAATTGAAAATTATTAATTAATCATCATTTTGACGAAACTAAGATTACAGAGTAACAAGAATTATTCTATTATTCTAATTACTCTGTGCTTACTGTTTGGGACTAGGTAATAGGGTTAAAACTTTAAACTTTAAATTATTGGAAATAATGTCATCTATGTTATCATAATTTAATGTTTTTAAAGACTAATATAGGTAATTTTATTTACCGATCCAAAAAAGTTTCATGCAAAGATTCATTTATTTTTAAATTGTGGATTTGATAATATTATCACAAAATAAATTTAATATATTTTATTCTGTGATAGTATGGTGACACCAACATAATGTTGGTAATATTCACATATTAACCGTTATTATCATTAAAAGAGATAACTGTACTTGCCTAATGCCTATAGCTTATATTTTTAATTATTTTTTTCTGAATTATTTCATTTTTCGTTTTCGTTTCGTTTATTTTTGTGTAACTTAATTTCGTTAAGTGGTCTATTTAATTAATAATTAGGAAGTCACAGATCGATATTATAAATATTGCAGGTAAGAGAAACCGTACTTTTAAATATTAATCATAAGTAGTTTGATAAGATCCATTATATATTATATATACTACGTAGCTAAACGTAGTCATATTAAATTACTTAAGATGAATGCAATTAAATTGTTCACCTTTTATTTATTTTGAGATTTGTAAATTTAGTTGGTATTTATTAAAATACAATAATTTTTTGTGGATATTTTTATGCATCTATAATATAGAATCATGGTTTTAAACACTAATAATGGCTTCTTGGCATTGATTGACTGTTTCTGCTACAATTTCATATTAATGATAATATACTGTTCTCATTAAATCAGTGTGCTTTATTATTATGGTAATAGTATTTATTGTTTACTAGTATAATATAATGTTTATAATACAATAGATTTTTTGAAGCATTTTATGAAATTTATGATTGTAATGTTAAGTATTTTAAAATAACTAATTTAGTTGCCTGTTGATTTTAATTTTGTTCAGAAAATCTGGTAGGATTGTAGGTTTATGGATTTGTTAGTAATCTATTTGTGAATAAAATAGATGTGTTTGGTACTGTAACAATAATTGTTACTTTATAAATTATTTATAGGTAACTGATTCATTGTTAATGTTGCCACTTAGTAAATTTGCTTAGGTTAATAGAACACAGGAATATTGAATATGGTGTATATGTTATTTGCATATCTATTAGATGGATTTGGATTACAAAATAGAGACTAATAACAGTCAACCTTACAATTTTTTGTACAATATTTTAAATCAATTTAATATAATGTACAATTACACTTACATTATAGATAAATCATAATAATTTCATAAATTAATAAATGTAATTGTTCAACTTGTGATTTACTACTCCTTTTATCTTTGATACTACCTTTAAGAACTAGATTACTCAGATAGTGGTTTATTGTATTATTTTATTATTATTTATTGCATTTATATATACATTGCTATATCTTATTTAATCATATTAATTTAAAGAACATAGGCCATATATTTCTAGAACCTGTAAAATATAACTTAAAATATTTTATTTATAAAAGTCTGAGTTCGTTAAACTGGTTTGTGTAGTTGGAATAGTCAATCCATTAATCCTTGACTGGATAGGATTTGATAGAAGTTTTTACAGCTATTTAGTTTGTAAAAATGAAGTAGGATTTAAAAAAAAAGCAGGTAGATAATTAATAAATACTTGTGTAGGCTTAAAAATTAACTAATTATTTAATATTTTAAAGCCCTTTTTTGATCTATTACTACCTTGATCTAACATAAGTTTATGTAGAGAAAAATATCACAAATTTAGACACTAGCACATGTCAAATTTTTATGTACGATATCTTTTAGTTTTAGTACTGATTTTATTTTACCTTGATTTTTTCTTTAAAATATTACTTGGCAATCTATTTTCTACTTCATAACATTTTTAATTATTTTGTTTTTATTTAACAAATTATAAAATAATTTAATTGTATGCCTTTTAGTTTGGAAGTTGGAGTGGTTGATCAAAATGTAGGTATTAATTTATCAATAATTTTTTTTCTAACCTTGTTTGTTATTATTTTTATTTTTACAATTATTGATTTTACTACTGTCTATTTAACTTGAGAAAAGTGATTTTATAATTCATTAATTCCCTAATTGTATCAGTAAAAACTACAGACATTTAAAATTATGTTATTAAAAAAATTGAATTCATTGGACATGATATTTCTTTAAAATGTTGTAATTGATAAATTTTGGTAAAATATGATAATAATCAATATTAGAGGAGACAGCCTTCATGTTATTTTTTCATTATTTGTCATTATTCATGTATTTCTACGAATTTTAACCCTCTCTCCCATAAAAAATATTATTATTATGATTATCATTTATCATTATTATACATACTATACTATTCTATGTATTGCATTAATTAACTAAATACTAAAAATTACAGACAGTTAGGTTATCTTTATCATATATTATACATTAATACACAATGACTTTCTCTACTCAGAATCTAAAAGCGTCATATGTAAAGAACTATTTTCTTGTTTAAGAGGTGCAATCACATACCCTGCACACCCCTGACTCCACTTGTAATAATTAATTATAATCCTATGACCAGTATTCACAAATTTATCGAAATGCAATGTGTCCTACTAGTTCATATATCCAATCATTATTATTAAAAAAGTATCTAATGTATATTATTATTAAAATAATTTTTACTTAATAAGAGCTTACAATATGTTTCATAATGATGACGTATGATTTATGAGGTTTGTTTTCCTCTCCTATCTACTTATATCGTCTATCGATTATAAATCATGATAAGTAACAATATTACAATATATTTTCTATAAAATCATTAAAATTTAAAATATATAAATTAATCAATATTTTTTACCTTTTATCTATTAATAATATATTCAATATATTAAAGTGATCTGGAGTAATGCATTTGAGTAAATTACCCGCATAACAAAGTGTTCGGGCAAGCTTTTTATAGTGTGTTTGAGCGAATATTGTACGTCTATACGTTTAACGTCAGTTTACGGTGTATTTATCTCACCGGCACGATGCCATCGCGACCGGCTTACGGATTATCTTTTCCTCGATCTTTTCATACTTGCGATCGTCGTTAATACTAACCAATTAATACAGTATATAAAATATAAAAGTTTAAAAAAGTATTCATATAAAATCTACAGAAGACAAAAAAATAAAATAAATATATTCCATTTTATTAAAAAACAGTTCATTTTTAATCAATCCGTGAAAGTCACGGACAGTCCTAAGTCTATCAAAACGAGAGGTAAATGGATAAATAAAAGACTGCCTAGTTCCTAAACGCATTACAGTATAAATATATTGAAAAAAAGTCGCTCAAACACTTTGTTTTAAACTCACTCGCCCAAACGCATCATACAAAATAATTGCCAAACGCAAACCGCTTTAATAGTGATTTAAATTTAAATTTCCTATAAAATTTATCATAATACTACAGCATGTTTATAAAAATGTAATGTATAATGTATATTTATACTTATGATTATACCTACACAGATTATGATAATATATGTATGCATTATAATACTCTAGTACTTTACTATTACTATATAAACGTTTTTAATTGTTAGAGTGTAAATATAATTTCCACCCAATCGTCATTTTTTTTATTCCATAAATTTATTACGGATTAATGTCAGATTTCATATGAATAAATAAAATAATATATATATATTTATTATTTTGTACATCATCTTAAATCTTTTACTATTCGATAGTATTATTTATATAAATATTCATGTGTATTTCCTAACTACAAGCAAATAATATTTAGATTTCGTATTGTTATTTTGTTTTAAAATTGTTATCGATGATTTTAATATGTATTTAGGTACTTTATATTAGTATAACATATTATTTATGTATGATTTGCATATTCAAATTTCATTTGAAATTTAAATTCACTTATAATTCACTTAATGTGGGTATCTCTGTATATAAGTAGGATTATTTTGTACAATATTCACGCAAAAAAGAATAACCGTAACAATTTTTATAGTTAAACAGAAGAATTAAATTAAAGTAATATTTATTAGTGTTTAATATTATATTTTATAAATAAAATAAAATAAATCTCTTTCCAATATTTAGATTTAAAATTAAAAATTTGTTTATATTTATTAAATTGTTAAATTAAAAACCGGGTAAGTCGCTCTATTGTATAATACGTTTTAAATGTATCTCACCAATGAGGATGTCACTAGGTATCTACTATTGGACAT